CCCTTCCAACCTTAGGCATTCTATGATTCTATAAAACAAAAGAAATTAAAACAAAACACCTCATTTTGAGTCAGAGGAAGTAGGTAATTTTTTTAATATATTTCTATATTCTGATTTTTTTTTCTGAATAACGTGGGAAATGTTATTCAGAAAAGACCTGGGAGTCCTGGTTGACACCAAGTTAACCAYGAGTCAACAGTGTGCCCTCGTGGCCAAGAAGGCCAATGGGATCCTGGCCTGCATCAGGAGGACTGTTGCCAGCAGGTCAAGGGAGGTGATTCTGCCCCTCTACTCAGCTCTGGTGAGGCCGCACCTGGAGTACTGTGTGCAGTTCTGGGCTCCCCAGTATAAGCGGGACGTGGAGTTTCTCAAGAGGGTCCAGAGAAGAGCAACCAATATGATTAAGGGAATGGAACATCTCTCGTATGAGGAGAGGCTGAGTGAGCTGGGCCTGTTTTCTCTGGAGAAGAGAAGGCTGAGAGGGGATATGATTAATGTGTGTAAGTTCAGGAAGGGAAAAAGCGGAGAGGAAGGGGACAGGCTGTTTTCACTGGTGGCCAGCGACAGGACGAGGGGTAATGGCCATAAGCTGGAGCACAGGAAGTTCCATCTCCAGGTGAGGAGGATCTCCTTTACTGTGAGGGTGACAGAGCCCTGGAACAGGCTGCCCAGGGAGGTTGTGGAATCTCCGTCTCTGGAGGTCTTCAAAACCCGCCTGGACGCCACCGTGTGCCACATGCTCTAGGTGTGCCTGCTTGAGCAGGAATGTTGGACTAGATGATCTCTAGAGGTCCCTTCCAACCTTGAATATTCTGTGATTCTGTGAAAACCTGCAGCTACATCTTTTTTTCCCTGCGTCTGAATGATTTTAGAAGTTCTATCAGGCAGTGCACAGTGCACAGACTGACCCCCGTCTAGCTGCCCCTCACAACATCAATTCGGCCCTGCAATGGCAAAGCCAGATTTTCTTAGGTTGGGAGAGCCATCCTAGCTCTGTCTTGCCTTTTACCCTAAATCTGGCCTGCAACGTGGGCTCAGCTGTCAAACCACAGCACGCTCATGGATGGTCTTAAAACCATGTTGCATCTCTGTGCAAAGAGGAACGGGAAGCAGGAGGATCTCAGGAGAAGAGAGGAAAGGAAAGCAATAAAATGATCAGCCCACCAACAGCAAAAGGATGATTTGGTGCCTCCAGGATGGATACCTCATCCCACGGCTTTTGGCAGTATGAACCAGACCCCATCACACRCAGCACCAGAGATAATGCACAAAGTCTTCCCAGGCCAGCAGGATTTCCACACTGGAACACAATCCCCTGCTCCCTGACCGGCTGTCCTTGCTGCAGCATCAGGCCCTGGGGATCGAGAGTAAGCTCCAGAGACTCAATTTTTGGAGACCTGTCCTCAAAAAACTGTTGTATCATCATGCTACAGAAAGATGAAGATCTTCACAGCCATCATATTCCCCATATCTCTTCTCTAAAATAACTACAGATAGGACAAGAGGAAATGGTCTCAAGTTGTGTCAGGGGAGGTCAGATTAGGTATCAGGAAGAATTTCCACTTGAAAAGAGTGCTCAAGGAAGTGGCAGAGTTACCAAGAAAGGTGTAGATGAGGCACTTAGGGAAATGGATTAGCAGCCATGCTGGTGATGGGCTTGCAGTTGGACTTGATGATTTTGAAGATYTTTTCCAACCATAATGATTCTATGATTCTGTGATTCTATATAAAAGAATCTTTCATTGATGGAAGGAATGGGATTTTTTTTCCATTGCCTTTCTGAGGGTTTGAAACTCTCTAGCAGATGGAAAAAGCAACCGAATTTATAACCACATGGTATGCTGAAAGTTCAAACTGAATATTTTCACAGCCAGTCAAAAATTTATTCAGAAGTAATTCAAATAATTTAAAAAAAAAACATAGTCTCTTTTTTTGTAATAGAAAAAAAATACTTTTTCACAGCTGCAGTTGTGCACCTTTTTTTTTTTTTTTTTTTTTTGATGGTCTTCTTTATCAGGAAACCATTTTTATATCCCATCTTTGGTTCCACAAAGCAATCGCATAGGGCAGAAAAATACTTTCCACTGCTACTATGTTAGGCTTGTAAGTAACAGAGATTCTTGACATTATTTCAATATTATTATCACCTATGCCCAATAGAGGAAAGAGTTTCTAAAAGAAAGAACATTAAAGGATAAGAATTAGCCAGGTATCATACTTTCCACAGTGGGACTACAAAAATCAATGATTGCTTGTCCTTGGGATATCAGGGAAGCACCATGCAAGCGTCTCTTCTTCCTTGCATGGGTTACAGTATTTCAGATGTGAGAGTCACTAGGTGCTTGAACAGCTCTAGAGTCAGGGACAGCAGTTCTCCTCTCTCTCCACTGCTACTCCTCTGATAACATAGTGGGGTGATTTAGGGAGGTGATCTGGTCAAATCAGGTTTTAAATAGGGTTCAGTTTTCATCAGAATACTTCTCAGGAACTTGGTTGCGGTCACATCACATGAATACTAGCACAAATGCAAAGACAGAGACTGACAGATGCAGCAGGGATGCAGAAAGCCTGGTTTAGATTAGTTTAGGATGCCTTAAAGCTGTATCCTAAGTCTAATGCTTTACATACACTTTAAGCCAGCATTACAGTTGTAAGAAACAGTCTCTATTTGTCTGTGGCCACTAAATGTTGCCTTTGCACTTAAGCTTTTCCTTACAGCAGTGTATGAGCTTATCTCTTTTTATGTTAAACTTGGTCAGGGCTGGTAATATCACAGATTATTTCTCAAACTCCACATTGCAGTGACACAAATGCTCATGTGGACTCAAGGGAGATGGAGAGTGAGATTGCCCCTTCCACCCTGCACCCAAGTTTGGGAGCATATTTTGAATAACTGTGACTCATATTGCTGGCAGGGTGGTCTCTTCCTCAACCTCAGTGTCTTGCTCGCTGCCTTGCATCACATGTAACAAATCCACAGCTGCAGGATGAGTCACTTCAACCTAATGGGAAACTGATTTTGTGTTTGTTTGGGGTGTATACTTTTAGTACTGGGCTAAACTTCTGTCATTGGAACTAACACAAGGGAAGTACTTGGATATATGCAGCCAAAAGCAGGAGGGGAAGTAGAAAAGAATCTTTCAACAACAAYTCACATTTACATGAGATTAGGGATGATGAAATATCTCAAACTAAGTGTCAGAAATTATCTATTGGCTAGTCCATGCCATGGCTGTATTCAGCAAACAGTTGAAATCCTGGCTCACTGAAGTCAATGGGAGTTTGGCACGGACTATGAAGATTAAATCCTGTTTTTCTTGAGCACTGACACCTTCTCCAAATGTTTTTATGTTTGGAATATAACAGTTTGATTACATCAAGGACTTACACTGGAGACTTCTCAGCAGCAGCTCTGGTCTAAATCATTACCACCTCTTACTCGCTGCCAACTGTTTGTTCCCGCACTTTTCTCCTGCCCGTTACATTGATGTAACTATTTAACTCTTCCCCAAACCAGTTCTATAAAATATTTAGATTAAAGAAAGCAAATCCTGTTAAAGAAAATAAAGTTTCTTTGTTTCTATGCCGATCATGTTACATATTAATTTGAAGAAGCAATAGAATAAACAGTTATGACAGCAGAAGTTTAGGGACAGGATCCTCCAGTGGAGTTGTAGCTGGAAGCAGACTAAGGACATCTTTGATTCCATCTGCTTATATCTCCACCAGTATCATCAGTGTGTCCTTAAAGCACTTAAAGTACTAACAAAGCTGTGCAAACATGAAACATGATTTTAAAAGCAATGAAAATGGATGCCAAGTCACATCTATTTACAGTGAAATAGCTAGAAAGGTCCAGCTTTGGAGGATAGATAAGCCTGTATTTTTGAACCAACTTGACTGACTATTGTCCTCAAGTTACCAGATAAATGAATCAAATGTCTTATACTTCATTATCATTGTTTCTTGCTAAGTCAAAGCTATAACTACTGAATCAGGCAACATTAATAYAAGTTTTACTCACACTGCACATGCAGCCATTCATTCACCTTCCCCCATCACCTCCCACCGTTTGCAGCCTGTAAACGTGGTGGCAGCAGCAGCATCTGACATTTCTGCAGGGCAAATCAATTAATATTTTGCATCTAAAAGTACAACGTAACTATAAGCATGAAAATGAGAAAAATTTAGCTCTCTAAAGCAGAAATGTTTTAAAAGTGTAAGTCTTTAAAATGCTAGAATGAGAATGATCAGAACAGCTAAATGAGATAGTCCCCTGAAGCCAGATTTTGCTATGTGACTGGTATTACATATACCATATATCTATATTGATATCAGTAGGATAGCAGAGAACTAATGCCTACAAGGACTATAAGTTTGGCCAGCTGTAACAGGGATAGAAGCACATAGTTAGCATCAAAATAAAAGAACAGGTTCATTCTGAGGTTCCAGCGCAAGAATATACTTAAGGTGCTTAATTTCATTTAAATCAGTAGAAGTACTATTATAAAGACAGATGATGCAGTACCAGTAGTGATCAATGGAGCTTTTCTTCAGTGTAAAGAAATGCAGTAACTGTAGGTCCTCTAAAAATCAGTCCTAAACTTTCATTTTCTCTAGCAATGCAGCACTCTAGTGCTTATTCTAAACATGGTAATAGCTCCAGRTAGAAAATATGAATTTGTAATGCAACCCAAGGTTCCTGTTGGAGTCTTAATTTTTTGTGTAAATACAGAAATAGAGCAGATACTTCAGAGATAGAAAAGGAGCAAACATCCCTCTCTCTAAAGAGTCTGAAAYCTAAGGATGCAACAGGAGAAGGCGGGAGATGTGTCAAAAGGAAAGTAGTGTAGCTCATCACTGAAGATTAATGTTAGATCATGTTCTTCATTTTACTGTCCTATTTTTTGTTTTGCTTGCCTTTTTCCCCCAAATMTAAGTGAAGTTCCTTTTCTTCTTCATTATCAATGTTAAAAGTGAATTTTGATCTTAATACTTACACTTTATTGAGTATTCTTATTAACATGTCGACATGCTCCCTTTTCTGAAGAGATTCTTGCTCATTTCTGGGGATACCCCTGATCTTCTTAAGGTAGCTACCAATGTCATGATATTTTTCATCCACTGTTTGATTTTCATTGACTGGTTTTGGTATCCTAAAACACAATAGACAATTTTATAAAACATATGTCTCATTCGCATTTAGAACAATACTACTATAACACTTTTGGCAGCAAAAGGCCCTTCTTTAACTATTATCTATCTATGCGTGAAGTCATTCCAATAAAAAAGAAGAGAAAAGAAAATATCACTTGAAAGAGACCTATATATCTGGAAAAAAAATCCACATTTTTAAAAAGAATTCTAGCTTCTCTCTTAATGAACTCTCAGTTTGGAAAACATTCAAAAATTCCCTTTTGTGTAAAAGCAACAGTGAACAAAACCGTCCATTTTTTTTCCCAAGGCTACTTTTGCCTTTATCTAATCTAGAAACATCTTACAGGCAGTATTGTTCATTAAAGTGCAAAGTGACTCATGTATGTGTTTAAAAAAATGTAACAATTTGAATTGTTGATGGTGTATTTATTAGCTAAATTGGGTAGGCACATGAAATCAACTAGCCTATAAAAAGTTTTATCAGTGAGTGTTATTCAGAGGTTGCCTCATTAGTATTCCCCTCCAGTCACTAGAAGAGAATGATGCATTTGTTTTAATTTTTATGTGACTACAATTATTTTCATTGCTTCTCTTCCTATTGACACTGTGTGATAGAAGAAGAGATTTGGCTTTAAGCTATACTTTGGACAACATAGCTTGCCTCACTGTGGACCTCACAGATTCTTGGCTATCCAGCTGCTCAGGGCTCCCTCAGCTCTAATTTCAAGATATTCCTTCAGGCTTCTTGCATAGAAGTCAAGACAGTGACTTCTGGTCACTGTGGTCATTTCCAGGGCCAGAATAGCCTRTCATTCAGGCTGTCTGAAAGCGGGGTTCATAGCAAAGAACAGTAAATCTATTTTATTAAGAATGGAAACATTGTTTTGAACATTTTAATTCCTATTGCAATGAAAATAAATCTTGAAACAAAACAGAATAATTTACAGAGCTGCAGATTAAAAATGGGGAAGAAGTTAGATCCTTTAAGACAGATGAATTATTATCTGAATAACCTGATAAGAGCATAACAGCATGTAATGTTCAACCACATTAAGATAATTAWATGCCCAGTTTCCAGCGATTTCAGTGGGGAGTAGGCACCAAAACACTACTTTGAATAAAATAACTTATTTCTCCTCTTCCTTTTCCTATTATGTAAGCAGATGATAGACTCCAGTTTTTAATAAACTGGAATCATGGCTTTGTGCTGGGAACAACCAAATACTGTTTCTTAAATAAGCTTAGTCTTCATAATTTAGGTAGATTTCCCAGTCTATTCACAAAAGTCAGCAAGTGGAAGTTGATAACTAGTTCTGAATTTCTCATAGCAGAAATCACAGCACAGGTTTACTGAACCCTGAGCACCTTGTGACACATGCAATATCAGTACCACTAACTACAAAATTCAATTCTGAACATAAGTTTCCCTAACATTTTTAGCTTCTGAATTAGAAGAGTACTTCTAATTCAACCTATTACGGGAAGGAAAAAAAAATTAGAGGAGTTTGCATAATGAATGTGAAAGTTCATTAATCTTTACACTTGGACTCTGCTTATATAGCCGGAGTCCTGATTTTGCATCACCTTGGACACTGTTCCGAACCAATCCAGTGCAGTGTACGCCAAGGCAGCTCACTGCATCCATACTTGTCACCATGCAAAAAGGAATTAAAGAATCAGCCTCAATATCTACCTGTGTTTATAACAATTTTGAACTAATCTTCTCTTKGTGGTTACAATTGTCTTTTCACAATATGTTCCCCAAAAGAGTAAATCACACACATGAAAATTTCTCAGGTATGTCAGATTTTCCAACAATAGAAATTTTATTCCTTAGATTTCTACTCATTTTACATTTGCAGCTAAATATCTTTGTTATTGTTTGAAATGATCTTAACCTTCTTTATAAGGCCATAGCCTTTTAAATGTATAAAAATACATATTTTTCTAAGAAAAGGAAAATATTTTGAGTTATAGAAAGCTATATTCTTTCTTTTCTAAGAAAAGGAAAATATTTATGAGCTAAGGTTTGTAACCTTACAATACGTGCTTCATTAAATCACAGTTTAAAAAAGAGGAAAAGTGGAAACTTCACTTTTTGTTGGTTTGTTTGTTTGCCCATAGGAAATGGAAAATTTGAGTAATAAACAAGATATTAAAAGATGTATAATCCTGATTTTTTTTTTATTAAAAATGGAGAATTTAAAGTTATCAGATAGAGGTCTGCAGAGAAGCTCCTTCCTGGAATARTTTAAAATAGATTAGAAAGGCAAAGTTAGGGGTATCAGAATGCAAAACAGACRAGATACATTGTCTCAAAGGCTTCTGCAGTGTTTTTTTCTTTCAAAGTCTGAACTGAACATGCTACAAATTTATCTATTGTTCTTCCTCTTAGTATTTCCTATGGCCTGATTAAGACAGAATGTACAGGTAGCCTATGTGGCTTCATTGTCAATTCAACAGCCATCATTTTGTTATGATTTTCCTCTTTCCTGCTTTTTCTTTCTAATAGTTTGACATAATTGTCATTTCTTCACTTCAGTGACTGCATTTCAGAATTGAAAAATAGCAGAAAAAAGCAATGTATTTCAATTAGTCATCTCCTCCCTTGTTTCTCTTTTAGCATGACCTTTACCTGTCTTACAAGGTTAACAAAACACAGACCTCACTAAAACCTCTTCCTTAGAGCAGCTACACATTTTTCTCTCAAATGGTATATGGTATGCTCCCAAAAAATTTATTTCCTATCTTACTGTTGATAACCTTACAAAATAATAATAATTATTATAATAATATATATATAATATTATAATAAAATTATAATAATTAATAATAATAATATTAATAATAATAATAATGCTTGGTGGTTGCAATACAATTTGTGTTTCACTTGATGTAGATATTCCAGAGGAAGCTACTTGCACATACATGAGGAATAGAATAACTATAAGATAAAAATTTCAGTAGGCTGAATGGAAGCTTTGAAAGCCCCAGGAAAACTCAGCTCCATTTTTAAATTATCAGTTAAATTAGATTCTAATAAGAAGTCTTGATGATAAGGAAGCTATAAACTATTGATGTTATAACCATGTCAGAATTAAATTTAGCCTTCATTATAGTTTCCTCATCAAAGCTTTGCAATTCCTAATGAGAAGATACTCACCCATGTATACTTTTACTGGTATAGATATAATAGTATAGCTCCCACATCAACATTTAATTTGGTTCTAAAATAGTCCATTCTGGTTTACACCATACTATTTCCAAATGGTCGAAAATAACCATTTATAGATAAGTGTTCTTTTTCAAAAAAATAGTTTTACAAGTATTAGCACAGAATTATAATTACACTGCAAAATGGCTGCTTTTTAGAGTCCCTTAGACTCCCTTCCCTGTTTGTTATATAGGGATTCTGTTCCTATAGGTAGCAACTTTTGCTTACATATTTGACATTAGCCTTTTTCTGAGAAATTCCAGCAATTAAAGTTAATGTAATCTATTATATAGCATTGAAAATATCTGTCATATGGTACTGAGGAAGAATTCAACAGTTGAAAAATAATAATCCATAAYAGAATCCAAACAAATCAGTGGCCCTGAGTATTTTGAGCAGATWATGAATTTGTTAAATTCAGGCCATCTTTCTGAGTTGCCCATGGACAGCATGTATTTAAGATGCTGTATTTTATTCAGAATAAAGATTTTTTTTTGTGAACATATTGCACAACTGACAGACTATTTGCGATCTGTTCCCTACAAACAACCTTTAAGCAATACACAGTTGTRATTAACTCTGAGAACGACTTGCTTCCTATTTCGAATGGAAATGTTTCTGCTCCACTCCTGATTGCACAAACTTTTCCAATAGAGGCCCTGCATGAACAGGGGGTTGATACTGAGAGTCCACATAGTAGCAATGCAGAGCAATAAATAACAAGTCATGCAAATTTAATCAGAATTCCTTCTGTACATGCACGGATCTCAGTTCAAAATACCTTGTGTTCCTTCCCTCTGAGGTGGGGAAAGGTACAGCCCGCTGGCAAGTGAAATTTTCTGAGACTTGAGTCCAACTTACACAACATTACTTGCAGCCCTCTGAGAAAACACCTCACATTAAGCCTGATGCTCACAAGACACCATGGAAAAAGCGAGGCTTAAATTAGTTGCAAATGGTTAAAGCTAGGGCTACACAGATAGCTAAGAGATAGTCTACTGGACATGGTTGTTACATCTGTCAATAAAATGTGCTGGCAAGACTACAGCATACAAAGCTATATTGCACATCCTTTCTTCTTCCAAGAGTTACTCCAAATCCAAGACAGACAATTATAACTTGAGGTAATCTGGAAGATGCACAGCTACTAGCAGCAGGAGAAAATGAGAGCAGGCAAAATATTGTGGAGGAAGCCAGTGCATCAACAATAAATCTCTACATAGGAATGATATGTTCCATATATACAAAAAATACCTAAAGTAATTTGCCTAGCAATGATCCTAATTGTGTATACCCATTATTTCACAGCATTTCCCCCTAGAAAGCAAAATATTTGATATGTGAGAGGTGAGGAAGACAGGAGAGAGGGCAAACAGGGATAAGTCAGTTAACACAAGTTTCGACATTTGGAAGATGGCACTAATAGGCAAACAAAAACTGCTAGCAGCAGTGAGAGTCTGGGTGTCAGAAATGTTTGTCTCTCACTCTTGCGAAGGCTTCTTTCTGTGAAATTGAATTACACAGTTAAAGTCATCTGTGTTTTCTGAACAAGTAAGATCACTGAGCAGAGCAGCTTTCCTTTGTAACTTTTGTAAACTCTGGTTTAGAAATTTTCTCCAGTTCAGTGAATCTCTTATAATTGGGATCCCTAATGTCCAGTAAATAAAAAGCCTCCTCCTATGTATCCCCCAGCATAAATGATCTAAACTGGGAAATTTGGCACTCCCTGAAGCATCTGCACATGGCTGTGGAAAAAATGTGCAGCAAATGTATTAGCTTGCACAA